GTGGGGGGTTGGGGGGGCTGATGCACAGGGAGCAGGAGCCTAGGCGGGCGGGTGGCTTACTTGACTTGGGGGCACGGCGGCCTGCTGACCTTCCTGGTGACCCGCGAGTAGCCCCTTAGGATGCTGAGCAGCCCGATCTTCGTGGTGAGGAGCTTGTTGTTGGGGAGCTGGAACAGCAGCTGCTCTCCTGGGGGCGGAGCCCGGGTCACGTGTGGACAGGCCCCGTGGATGGCATCGGGAGTGGATGGCCCCGCATGTGGCTGGGCCGTGTGGACAGCACCACGTGTGGATGGCATCCTATGTGGGCAGGGCCGTGAGGATGGGGTCATGTTGGCAGGGCTGTGTGGTCAAGGCTGTGTGGGGCATGTGGAGTGCCCACGTGTGCTTGGCACCGCGTGTGGACTGCGTCCAAGGAACTTGGCCCACGCCTCCACTCATCTTCCACTGCCCGCAGGCCGGTGCCCCTCTGCTGCCATCCAGGAGGTCCCAAAGGCTGTGGGATGCAGCTCACCGCCTGGCAGCAGCCCCGCCCACCTACCTTCCCGGAAGCGGCGGTAGCTGTCCTGGCACTTGACCTCGCACCACTTGAGCATGTAGTCCTCGCGGCGGCTGTCCTGGATGCGCTGCCAGCCCTTGCTCTGGCAGTAGGAGCTGATTCTGCAGGCGGAGGTGGCGGTGACCCGAGGGGGGTCCCAGAGAGAGGCCGGCCGGGCCGGGGCTGGGACTGGGCGTGCCCGCCCCACTCACACTGCAGCCCCGTTGGTGCCTCCGATGTAGAAGAAGGGGCCCTGCTGGGTGCTCCCCTCCAGGACGGTGGCGGAGGGCCTGGCGGTGTTGGTGGTGTCAGGGTCTGCAGGCGGGCAGGTGGGAGGGAGCCCAGGGGGTCCTGGTGTGGCAGAGACTCTCCCTGCCACCCCCAGCCCCAGCTGGCAGCCCCCACCTGCGTCGGGGTCCTGCTGGCTCGGCTGATGAAGGAACCCCTCCTCCTGGCTGCTCCCCATGGGTCTCTGCCAGGTCCAGCCTGGAAGGGGGTGGAGCCCACTGGGTGGGTGGGGAGCTGCCCACTGGCCCGGCCCATCTCATTTCTGGCTGCTCCCGGTGTCACTCAACCCATCTGGGCCCCAGACTCAGGCCTGACCAGGACCCTGGTCGGTCACACTGGGAGTGGGAACACTGCCACCCTCTAGGCAGACAGGGCCCCGGTGGGGTGGGGGGCTCAGGCAGGGGTGAGGAGAGCAGCCCACCCTCCCCTCCTCACCACAGGGCAGCGGCTCTGTAAGGGACTGGGGCTGGGGCAAACGTCATGCGGGGAACACTAGCTCAGTGGTCACAATGTCCATGATGACGTCATGGGTGACCCAAGGGGCAGTTGTCAGGCAGGGCAGGTGAGCGGCCTCCCTGCTTGGGGCTGGCAGGGGCAGAGCCTGCCACGGCTGCCATGGGGTGGTGCCAGAAGGGAGAGCCCGGGGCCATGGAGGATGGTGCCAGCCCCCTGTGCCCACAGAGCCGGGCTGTGCTCAGTTGGGCTGGCCATGCCCTCAACAGCGCCTGGTCTCCCTGCCAGCTGAGCATGGCCTCGGGGGTCCTGCCCCTTCCCTGTGAGACCAGCTTCCTTGGGGGATGTCTCAGTACCCAGGGACCCTGGCTTGGGGGAGGGAGGAGCCAGTCCTGGGTTGCTTCCTATTCACCTGGTGCTTGGGCGTGGCACTGCCACAGCCTTAGCCACTTGCCCCGCTTGGAGCTGACTTGGGTCCGAGTGGGCGGTCCCCGGCAGTGGAAGAACTGGGCCCAGCGGCAGGCCACCGGCACTGGGGCGCCAGGCCAAGGGCCCCATGGGGAAGACGCCACCCCCATCCCTCTGCGGGTCCACCTAGCAGCCCAAGGACCCAGTCCTGGGGTGGGGCACATGGTCAGGCCCACCCGGCCCGGGGAAGGCCACCTCCCCAGGTCCTGGATGCAACCCTCGGCACGCGGCCGGCCCTTGTCTGCGCAGTGGCTGTGGGGCCTGGTGCCACGTGGGAGTGAGGCCATCTCTGCATCCTGCTTCTGCCGGGCGAGTCCTCTCTGGCTGGGACTGTCCCTTGGGCCTCACTGAACACGGCCTGGGTGCCGGCTGCAAGGAAGGCAACTGTCAGGCCTGCTGGTACCCGCTTGGAAGGTGGAGTGCCACACGCGTCCTGACCTGGGCAGGCGTCTCCCTTTCCCTCTGCTGATGGTGGAGTCCAGGGCTGGGTGTGGCTACCTGGCACCTGCTGTCCGGGCCTCTCTGTGGCTGCTGGCCATGCCTCCCCCAGGCTGGTGCCCCCCCTACACCTTCCTGTGTGACTGCTTTGGACCATCTCAGGAACGTCTAGCCAGTCCCTTGGCAGGACCGTCTGCCTCCGTGTCAAGCAAACAAACCCCTGCTGGGCTGCTTGAGAAGTGGGACTTTCCACAGGTTTAACAGAAACTCCGGGAGACTGGGAGCTTGGGGCAGGTGCCAGACAGGACCGGGGCAGGTCTGAGCCCCAGGTCAGGCAGAACTTCTCCAAAGAGGAAGAGCCTGTGGGAAACAAATCCACCAGGCACCCAAGAGATACCAGTGTCAGTGCAGTGGCTGCTGCAGCTGGATGAGACCCTGGTGTCTGTCCCTGCCCCACCCAGAGATGTAGACAACGAACGAACCCCCACCTGGACAGTGAGGAACACCGAAGGCTCTCCACACAGTCGTTGGAGCCCAGCTGGGCTGGGCACTTGTGAAAGAAGCCACCCTCCCTCCCCCGAGGCTCCCCTCCCAGGACAGGAGGACTCCTTGGGGGAGGCTAGGGAGGGAGCCTGCAGAGAGAATGAGACAGGCGTGTGTGTGTGTGTGTGTGTGTGTGTGTGTGTGTGTGTGTGTGTGGGGTGTGACTCCACACTGACTGGGAACCAGCCCCTTCCTACTGGTTCCAGCAAAATCTTACTGGGGTTAGGGGACCCCAAGTTACTGACTCACATTGTCATCCCACAGCCAAGGGCCTGGACACAGACATCAGGGGGCTCACTGGTGTGAGCAGGAAAGTGACACACAGCAACACACATATGCACAGACACACCTACACACAGATCCACAGATACAAACAGACACACCTCAACACAGCCACACAGCTGGCACCCTGGCTGTTCTGTGGCTCTGAGAGAGAGTTCAAACCTCTTAACCCAAAGAACTGGACACACCTCAACACAGACGCACAGACACCTGCACATGGACAGACAACACACAGACACATGGATACACCTGGAAACACACAGACACACCTAGAAATGCAAAGACACACACCTAGATACAGACACATAAATATTCAGACACACCTAGGCATGCAGAGATACACTTAGACACACAGATATACACAAATACAGCTAGACAAACACAGACATGCCTAGACAGAGAGACAGATACACTGGAACACACATGCACCAGCACATGGACAGACACACGGACACATTTACGCGTGGACAGACACATGCACTGGCACACATGACAGAAGCAGACGGGGGAGAAGGGATGACCAGAAGGTGAAGGAGGCCAGTCCCCAGGGTGCGTGGGGGGGATGATGCTGCCCCCGGAAGAGCTGCGCACTTTAAAACAAGCAAACTGGCCGGGCTCAGTGGCTCAGCCTGTCATTCCGCGCCTTTGGGAGGCTGAGGTGAGTGGATTGCCTGAGCCTGCGGGTTCGAGACCCGCCTGGGCAGGCGAGACCTCATCTCTACAATAAAATCAAAAAATTAGCCAGGTGTGTTAGCGTGCACCTGTAATTCCGGCTACTCGGAAGGCTGAGGCAGAAGGATCCCCGGAGCCCAGCAGGTCGAGGCTGCGGTGGCCGGGAGCGGCCACTGCACTCCAGTCTGGGCGATAGAGTGAGACTCCAACTCAAAAAAAACAAAAAAACAAGCAAATTGGGGGCGACAGAGTAAGACTCCAACTCAGAACAAGTTATTAATGAATGATAAGTAAAATTAAAAAAAAAAACCAAAAAAGCAAAACAAAAAAAACAAGCAATTTGGGGCGACAGAGTAACACTCCAACTCAGAACAAGTTATTAATGAATGATAAGTAAAATAAAAAAAGAAAACCAAAAAAGCAAAACAAAAAAACGAGCAAAATGGAGCGTGGACAAGCTGCTGGGACCCAGATGTCCAGCACAAGGGCTGGAGTCCACACCAAGACTTGCCCAGAACACCTCCACCTCTTGGGCCCGCTGGGGCCATGGGGCTTCTGAGGGACTCTTGTGTGACAGAAGAAACATCTACAAGTGGCAGGAGAGGGCGCCAGCCCCGTGAGAGCCCCAGAGAGCCTGAGGAGGGAGACACCTTCCCACCACTCCCAGGTACCCTTGAGGCCACCGCAGCCCTGCAGCCTTCTGGGGGACCCTTGGGCCCAGCACAGGGGATCCCAGGAGCTCTGCATCCGGTCAGCCCAGGGGAGGTGGAAAATGTCTGGAGACGTCCTGCAGGGAAGGACGCCACAGGAGGGAGGCCACTGCCGTGTCCTGGTAGCTGGCCTGATGCCTCCAGCTGGGCGGGGCTGCCGTGAAGATGCAATTTCTGCCCAGCACCAGGACATGATAGGTCCGCCAGAGGCTGGTAAGGACGGTGCTGGGGACATCCCAGAGCAAAGGCAGAAAGCAAGGCCACCGTCAATGCCAGGGAAAACAAAAAGATGCCAACACCCTGGGCGGCCACGTGGCCAGGCATGAGCGTTAGTTGTGCGGCATGGCCCTGTGCACACACAGGGTTGACAGTCATTAGAAGGTCCCACAGAAGTGTAAGGCTCAAGAAAAACAGTCCCCCACCCGGAAACCCTGTGGCCACAGCAGAAGCAGCGTCTGGAAGAGGCAGCGGGTGGGAGGGTGTGCCTTTCATTCTCATGCTTTGTGTGACTTTCTTTACTTTGTGTATTTATGTTCACCAAGACCTAAATAGGCCGCGAGTTACTTTCTTGTGTCATTCAAATGCACAAAGATGTTTCGAGGTCCAGCCACGTGGGGGTCAACAGCGTCCCCTGTGTCCAGAGGCCTGCGCCCGGGGCCCCGAAGGTTGTGATTCCTCCCTGCAGTGGCCTGGCAGAGGGTCGCAGCTGTAAAGTCAATTTTGAAATAACCTTTTTACCTGGTCAGATAAAAAACCCGGCAGGCAGCGCCCGATGTGATGAGCAGAAGATGCTCTCAAACCTGAAAAAATCACCCGAGAAGATGGCCACCGTCAGAGTCCTCCCATGGGTTCCCCCAAAAGACAAGTTTGGAAGCATGGGCCCTGGCGGGTACTGCCATGGTTGGAAAACTGCCACGTCATGGCCTTCTGGGGATGCGGGTCCTGCTGGAGCTGCCCTTCTGGGACCGGTTCTGGGGAGACAGACCTGGTCCCAGGCTGAGCGGCTGGTCCTGGGAAGCACCCAGTCCCCCGAGCACGCATGGCCTGTTTTGGGGGTCCTGCCTCTCACATGGTGGCATGTGGCCTCTGCAGAGAGGCCAGCCTTTGCCCAGCCCCCGCAGGTCCTGTCCAGTCCCTGCCCTCCTGTTCCTCGGCAGCATCCGAGAGGACCCCCAGGGAGGGGTGCAGGAGGGTAGGGCACCCTGCAGGTGGCCGTCAGTGCCTCTTACCTGCCCCGCGAGGGCACGGGGAAGCAACAGTGGCAACTGGGCGACTGTTTCCCGGCAACTGTCTCCAGGCAGCCTGATCCCTCCGGAGCCCAGAGGTAAACAGGGTTTGAGGTAACTGGGAAGGGGCTGGGGTCTGTGCCAAAGGGCTGTGGCCGGAAGTGGGGCAGAGGTGGGTCAAGGGATCTGGGCCACTGGAAGCTGGGGGCAACTGAGGCTGGAGGGGGCCACTCGTGCACAGCCCCCCTTTCTGCTGGGCCTGAGCCTGGGGTCACTGCCCCTCCTCAGGACCTTCCCAGGTGGTCTCTGAGCCATCCCTTGGGCCCGATCTGCGCCCTGCGCCCCACCGCTTGGCCCCTACCTGCAAGGTGTGGTCCCTGGGAGCGGTT